AGATTTGGGGGGGGGGCAGATTTATTTTGTTTTAAATTATGTGTGTGTGTGTGTGTGTGTGCACATGTAAATGCAAGTGCCTAAGAGGCCATAAGAGGGCATCAGACCCCTTTGAGCTGGAGTTACAGGTCATTAAAAACCTATTGATGTGGCTTCTGGGAACTCAATTCATGTCCTCTGGAAGAGTATCAAGTGCTTTTAACTGATGAGCTATCTCTCCCACCCCAGATTTGGGTTTTTAAAAAGGGCCATTACCCACTAAAATGAAGTAGGACTTCTTGGAGAAATATCAGCTTTCAAAGATAGAGCAGAAACGGAGGAAAACGAGCTAGTGTCTCAGGAATGGCAGAGAATATAGAAAAGCTGAAACACCAAGACAAACAGGATCAGATTCCATTGAACAAAATACGAATCCACACTGAAATAACTGAGCACACAAAGAAGCAAAGATTGTTCCTTACGTAGAATACCCTTCACAGTCATCTATCACAGTAATGATTCAGGGAGAAACACCAGTAGGTGCTGTAACACTACTGAGTCAAAGGTGATAGGAACAGGACATTACATGGCTTCAAAGCGTCTTTCTATGAAATATTAACTATGAATGGAGTGACAATAATTTATACTGGGTAAATCTTGGCAGATACCAGTTTACTGATATGATCAAACTTAAAATTCCCAGTGATAGAACAAAATGACATCTTGGGTGACCTGATTATATTAGTTATATAACAAAACTGGTTATATTAGTTACATAACAAAACTATAACTTCAGAGGTACCATTGATAGAGAGCAGACATTCCAGACCTGGATGCATGATACAAAATAATTTAGCCGATAGTAAACAAATAAGGTCATTAGAAAAGGCCTAAGGTCTTTGAAAGAGACTTAAAATCATTACAAGGCCAGAATATTATGGAGAATGCCTGTAATCAAGCACTTGAGAGATTGAGGCAGGAGTGTCAACATGAGTTTTAAGGGCAGTTTGAGAAACAGAGAGTTTGAGACAAGCCAGGACTACATGGCAAGACCTTGTCTCAAGGGGGGAAAAAAAAGGAAGAAAAAAAAAAGACCTTTTGCTATTATAGGTATTAAAGGATATTATAGGAACCGCTGACAAAACTTGAATGGAATCTATAGGTGAACAAAAGACTGTGTGTAGCCGGGCGGTGGTGGCACACGCCTTTAATCCCAGCACTCGGGAGGCAGAGGCAGGCGGATCTCTGTGAGTTCGAGACCAGCCTGGTCTACAGAGCGAGTTCCAGGACAGGCACCAAAGCCACAGAGAAACCCTGTCTCGAAAAACCAAAAAAAAAAAAAAAAAAAAAAAAAGACTGTGTGTATGCATATATCTCACGTGAGTGTGTGTATCTGTCTGTTTGTTCATGCGATATAGACTGGAGGACCACCTCAAGTGTCATTCTTAGGCCTGTCTTCTACCTCCCTGGCCTGAAACTCACCATTTAAGCTAAGCTAGGCTTAGGCAGCCAGTCAACGAGAGCTAGGATGTCCCTGCCTCTTCCTCTCTGGTGCTGGAACTACAACTCTGAATCACTACATCTGGCTTTTTTTCTTTTAAACTTGGGAACTGGAGATTGAATTCAGGTCCTCAGTGCTTGCACGGCAGTATTCTACCAACAGAGCCATCCCCCCAGCCTCTTCGTATATGCTTTTCATCCAACTTCTAAGACTCACATCGTTCTTTTGTTTTTCAAAGCATCACAAGAAGGAAGAATATGGAAATCTAAAGGAGGACTATTGCACTATTCATGTAATATTCTAGTCAATTAAAAACTCATTCTGAGCCGGGCGGTGGTGGCGCATGCCTTTAATCCCAGCACTCGGGAGGCAGAGGCAGGCGGATCTCTGTGAGTTCGAGACCAGCCTGATCTACAAGAGCTAGTTCCAGGACAGGCTCCAAAACCACAGAGAAACCCTGTCTCAAAAAACCACAAAAAAAAAAAACCCAACAACCTCATTCTGATTTGTCTCTGTAGTATTCATAAGAATAAGAAATATCTAATAGACATAATAGGCAAAATTGTAGCAAACTCTATAAAGTCAAAACCCCAATTTCCTTAACCAATAGACTATTAATAAAAATACATAAGTGAAATTCAAGATTAAAACAGATTTAATATGCCTAACAAAGTGATAACATAGTGACACCTTTTGGATCCTGATACAAATGATACATAAATACATTTATGGGACATAGGTATGAGATAGTGAGAATTCTGAACACTATTTAGAAAGCTGATGATATCATGAGTTAGAATTTTCCTTATGGCAGTGTGGTATTTACTAAAGGGATACACACCCATTGTGAGTGCAGAGGAAGTGGGTGACACAACTGTCAGCTGGGAACTGTAACTGTGCATGTGAGGGGTGACATGGGGATGTGAACTCCTCTATCTTACTCTTTGTACTTCTGTGATTTAGGAGTTCTCCCTAATGAGAGTGGCACTGTTCAGAATTGTTGTTTATAAGTGGTACAACCAAGACTTAAATCTAGGTTTGTCTCATCAGAAAGCTAGTTTTTTCCCCTCTAAATGTTAAGTTTGTTTGTTTTTTTATTTTATTTATTAATTATTTAGTTTTTGGTTTTTCAAGACAGGGTTTCTCTGTAGTTTTTTGAAGCTTGTCCTGGAACTCACTCTGTAGACCAGGCTAGCCTTGAACTCACAGAAATCTGCCTGCCTCTGTCTCCTGAGTACTGGGATTAAAGGCGTGAATCACCACTGCCTGTCAAAAATTAAGTATTTTATTCATGTACCTTGACATTAAATTTTCTTTTTTTTTCCTAAATATTTATTTATTTATTATGTATACAATTTCCTGTCTGTGTGTATGCCTGAAGGCCAGAAGAGGGCGCCAGACCTCTTTACAGATGGTTGTGAGCCACCATGTGGTTGCTGGGAATCGAACTGGGGTCCTTTGGAAGAGCAGGCAATGCTCTTAACCACTGAGCCATCTCTCCAGCCCCGACATTAAATTTTCTAATGATTCATTAGTCAACATTCAAAACACTATTCTCCACCCTAAAATATAATAAAGTATAACTGACTACCTTTAATGAGATGTAATTTTTAAAAGTTAGATATTAAGTACATTTTTCTGGATTTCTTCCTAATTAAAAATTAGCTGTACTTTTATGAGAAAAATATTAATAAATTATTCAATTAAAACATTTGAATAGCTAAAAAAAAATCAGCTTCTTTACTGATCAAAATGGTCTCCCTCCCTGGGGCATTCGGGAAAGTGCAGAGGGTTCAGGTGTCCCTGAAACCTGGATGACTGGATTCAGTAGGTGGAGCCCTAATTTTCTCCGTGTAATGAGTTTACCCTATCAAAGCTAACAGAACCCCTTCAGAAAAGAAATCCACTAGAAGGTAACTGTGAGGAAGGAAGGAAGGAAGGAAGGAAGGAAGGAAGGAAGGAGGCTTGTGTGACTGTTGCATTTGTTGCCTGAGGTGATGCGGAGGGGACATGGCATACACTGTCACTGCGTTTGCTGTTGTCACTTCAGGGCCAAGGAAATTGGCAGGGAAGAGGACTGGCACAGACAGTGTCCACAAACGGCAGTTACCAGGGTTAGCTCCTCTAAAGCCAGACACAGCGGACAGATGGAGGACCTACAAGGCTTTGGGCTTTAGCCATGGGAAACACTGTTTCTCTCGATGTGAGAGAGGGCCCTCCTAGGATGGACAGATAACTGAGAGCTGACTGTTCCCAGCAAGCACTGAAGGCAACAGCTGCAGCCAGAGCTTCCTCCTTTACTTTCCTATCATCTCAGCCACACTGTGAGAAGAAATCCTGCAAAGTCCACTATTCAATAGCATAAAAATGAACTTTTACGGTTAGAATATCCTGCAAGATATTGCCAAGAAAATGCTCAACATTTCTTCTGGCTACCACTTGTAATGGCATCAAGGCCCACATTGTGGCTGAAATCTTAAATGCCCCTCATAGGCTCCTATGCTCAAAACTTGGTCATCAGTCTGTGATGCTACCGAAGGCCAGTAGAACCTTTAAGAGGCGGGTGCTAGTGAGGTCAGTCACTGTGAGCATGCCTGTAACAGAAATACTGGGACTCTGACCTCTCCTGTCTTTGCTCCCAACCCAGTAAGCAGTTTCCTCTGCCATATATTTCTGTCATGATGTTTGACCTCATACAGGCTCAAATGGAATAGGCCAGCTGGCCATGGACTGAAACCTTTGTAACCATGAGCCAAATAACCATTTTCTCTTTTGAATTAATTATAATTTTATTAATATAATACTTATTTATGTTCCATGGGTACAGAAGTATGGAGCTCAAATTTGCAGGAGTTGGTTCTGGGGTCAAATTGAGGTACTCAGGCCTGGTGGCAAGTGCCTTTACCTAGGGAGCCATCATCCCACTGACCCCCAAACTGATTTTTTCTGGGTATTTTGCCACAGTGGTGGAAAGCTGCCTAGCACAACTGACAAGGCCAGAGTGGAATCACGTCATCCATTTCCTGCCTCAGACCTGCAGACGGACGAGAGGCAGGTACAGCAATAGGAATGTAGGTTTTGGCTTTCTCGCCTGGGCAGCACAGGGAAATGCCCACAAAAGCCCTGGCAGAGCGGGCCTGAGCAGAGCGGGCCTGAGCAGAGCGGGCCTGAGCACTGCTGAATGCCTGGCAAGTGGCTCTTGCGTGCACTGAGGGAGAAGAAACAAACAGCTGGCTCGCAGTAGGCATTGAGGGTAGGAACAAACGTGCAACCTCGGTTTAAGATAACAATCGGCAGACACGCACTGCTTCTAACATCTCTACTTCAAAAGGCCAAGAGCATTGTCCAAGGTTTGTAAAGGAACTCTACCAGGCCAAACAGAAAGAAAAGGTCACGGAAAACACCTGGACCTGGGCTTCAAGTGAAGAATAGAGCTTTTTCTTTCAGATACTTTCACATAATTACTTTTATTAAGCATTAATTTCCACAGAGACACAAAGTACACTAAAGAGATTATTACCATCCATGTTTAGAGCGGCATGCCCACTGTTATTCACCAAAGTGGAATATGGCTTCTCATTCTGCGGCAAGACTCCTGCAGCCATAGTTGTCTGCTAGAAAAAGAAAAAAAAAAAAAGATTATTGCTGAACTAATCAAATTTTTTTAAAAAAAGATTATTGCTAAACTAATCATGTCAGACACCTGCTGCCCGATGTGGCAGCCATTAACTATGTGGCCCTTTCTTCTTTTCTTCCTTCTCTGTGTGACTGAACTCAGTACTCCACTACAGACCGGCATCCCCAGATGCACTATTTGAAAACATAGTACAAAGAAGGGTAAACTAAAGTTGGGTGGTGGTGCACACATTTAATTCCAGTACTGGGGAGGCAGAGGCAGGCAGATCTCTGTGAGTTTGAAGCCAGTCTGAGTTCTGGAATTCTGTAAGTTCCAGGACAGCCAGGGGTATGTAGACCCTGACTCAAAAAAAAAAAAAAAAGGCTAGTGTAATAACTTTTTCTAGCCAAGGTTGTCCTCTGCCCTCCCCATGTGCCCTGACATGCACATGTCTGCACGCTCAGAGCACACACATCACACAGATACCAAAACAACTAAAACAAACCTAGATACTGGTATTGTACAGAAATTCTTACATTTCTGTTTACAATTGTTATGTTAAACTGCTGAAAGCTTTTCTTTGTCACAATTAGACTTAATGTTTCATGTTCCTGAATTTATACTGAAAATTTACACAAAAATGAAAATGCAAAACTGCCCATATCTGATTTCTGTGCCCAATTTTTTTACTCACAGTCACACACTTGGGTACATTTTGATTCCTTGGGAAGAGAAAATATTCTAGCAGGAAGAAGGGGGTGTTCTTGTTTTTTAGAATGCAATATTTTCCATCATAGTGACTTCTTACGCACAATCTCCCTTCTCCATATATTCAGGTGCTATTACATGTCTCTGGCTGTCACCGTAGTTACATGTGTGGTGTCGAAAAGACCCAACCACAAAAGGGAGGCCAGAGAGGAGGATCTCAAATCTGAGACTATGAAGTGAGGCACTATCTCAAAATGAGCAAAAATCCCCAACCAACCAACCAACCAACATGCTTGCCTGTTGTGCAGCACTACCAGCTGAGCTCTGGCAGCGCACAGCTCTTTTGATACAGGGGATCAAGGCTGGGGATACAGTTTGGTGTCAGTGCACTAGCCTAGCACGCTGGAGGCTGGGTTCAATCCCCCTCACTGCAAAAAGCCTCCATCAGAACAAAACAAATAGTGTACAAGAATAGAAAGCCTGTCTAATTATGGGAGTTATATTGTCAATTCTCACAGGTCTGAGCTATGTAATAATAAGTCAATGTGAGAAACAGAGTATACAGCCTTCAATGTCTGACAACAGAAAGTCAGTTCTGCTTGTATCTGCTAAGCCTACAGTACACCACGCAGAATCCTTTCTCAACTGTGGTTGTCAATCTGCCCTTACCTGGGAATCTGGTGCCTGAGTTTCACTGCTTTAGAAATTTAAGCTTTCCTCGCCGCCCAAACACCTGTAATCTTCCTCCTTGCTTTCCCTTTTTGAGTCCCTTCTCATCCACCTTCCTCAAAGAAATCCTGGTTAGTTTTCCAGCTGCTCTTGACTTTTTCTTATTAAAGAATTTATTATTCCTAAAAAGGAACTTTTCTTTGAAATGTTTGTTGGGGCTGCCCCTTCTTGGCCTTGACTTTGGGCTAGTTTAGATGTACTGCTAAGGCTAACCTTTTCTATAGTTTTGCCCCTAGGTGTCCAGAGGCCTTCCCATTCTAGCTGACAGAGCAGAACTACTTGGGGCAAGTTCCCCGACTTGTATTTTCCTGGTCTCAGATGGTTTATACAGATCAGTACTCACCAAACTGCAGTTCAGCAAAGCTGAAGACCTTCTCAGGTGGGGTGTCCCTCCCCTCTCTGGGAGACCTTAACTATGCAAATCCTAGCTACTTTGGCTCCACTGAGTTCAGCCCTCTATGTATCTCTGGGAAGGCCTGGTCCCTCTCTAAGCCCAAGTCTGGAACTGTCCCCAGAGAGGCAGCTGGTGCAACCTTAAAGTCACCGTGTTTACATCTCTAAGAGACCAAAGCCATGGGCTGCCTGCTTTCCAATAATTTTTTAAAAGGTTGTCTAATATTTTAGTTAAGAAAACCCCTCTGCCTTATTTATGTGTTAGGAGCAGAAGTCTCTCCACTCATCTCTGAAACTCAAATCTGAGATCTCTGAAATATTATCTACTGTATGCTTCTTTGCATAGAAACACAGTATAGTTATGCATAATTGCTGATCAAAAATATCAAGATTTAAATATATTGTCGAGTCAGAGTTCTGTGTTTAAATCTTAGTTATTCAATTGCCATCTATATGAACTGGTCTGAGCTTTGATTTCTGTGGCAGAATGATTATATGTGTACTTTCAGAGGTTGTAAGGAAGAGAAAGACTGTGTATGCGTGCATGTTTAAACGTGTCTAAAGCAATGCCTGACACAAAGGAGATGCTTGGTATTTCACTTTGCAAATCAATACTGTGATTTTTTCCATTCCCTTCCAAGGCTATCGTCATTTTGCTCCTTCCTTAAAATAGTTTGTCAGTGACTCTCAGCATTACCTGTCTAATTGTCATGCTAATAGTGAAGCTGAGCTTCCAAGAAGTCTTAAGAACACGCCAGCTCCATTCACAACTCACCTACTCGTGTGCCTAGCTGCAGGACAAGGAGAGTTTCGATTTTAATCCTGACATTTCACTCTTATGTAACTTCCTGACTCAATGACAAGGGTTTTGCTCACTCTGTACCACAGTTCTTTCATCCCTAACCCGTCCCCCAGATGACTCAACTGTTGGAATTAGTCACACATTTCACTAATTAGTACCTACTACTTAAAACTTGAGTACAGTGCCGAACTATTACTCACACGGTCACAACAGTCAGGAAGTAATGTTCTACTTCATAATCAGTTCACTTCACAGAGATCAGGCTGGGAGACACTCAAGAACCTCAGCTCTCTCTTCTGTGCTGTGGAGGCAACGGTGTTCTGCATATTTCTTCGAGAGACTTTGCATTGAGCAAGTGCTCTAACCTTTCCTTCATGCTTCCAGCTCAAGCACTCCACTTGGGAATGCATCAGGATGGCCCTGGGTACCTGAGGAAGGACAGATCCCTTCTTGTTCCCACTTCCAAGGTGTCTGAGTTCTGGAGGAGCACAATTAGTAATTTACACTCTTGTCGTTCTGATGTGTGAGGTCTGTGTTCACTCTTATAGGCTACACTGTCAGTCAGTATGGTAAGATTCTAGACAATAATCACAGATGCTCAAGAATGTAAATGAATTTATCCAGGCCACATAAATATTATGGTGCTCAAATGGAAGTGGTGGAGGAGGTTCATCTGTCTATTTGTTACTTTCATTAGTTAATAAAGAAACTGCCTTGGCTTTTTGATAGGGCAGGATTTAGATAGGTGGAGTAGACGGAACAGCTGGGGACCTAAGATTCAAACATCTGAGTCTATGCAGGACATTCTCATTCAAACCATCATAGTCCACTCCCTGCTCCACCCCCTAGGTTGCTGGCCATATCATAACTTAAAATATATTTAGTCCAACATCAAAAGTCCCCATAATCTTTCATAGTTTCATCACTGCTTAATATCTAAGTCTAAAGTCTCTTCCAAGACCCAAGGCAACTCCTAATTGTAACTCCCATAGAGCTGACAGTGACCTTGAACTCCTGACCTTCTAGCTTCATCTCCCAAGTACTAGTATCACAAGCATATGCTATCATGCCTAGCATGTCACTCTGTTTCCAAAAACCCTTCACACAGCCCACCTTAAAATTTAAATCATCCCAAATTACAATATTTCTCAATAGGATCATGGTAAAAATACTCTTTAATACTAATAATTTATCCTGTTTATTGTCTGTTTTTCCTCTTCTATAATGTAAACTCATAGAAATACATTTTCTGAGGAGGATCTGCTTTGCCAACATCCGAATTTCTAGAACCTACGCTGGAACCTAGCACATAACAAGGACTCAGGATTAGGTGAGTGCACAGTGAACATCAACCACTACTTGAATATCCATTTTCCATCTATAAAGCAGGAACTGTAACCATGCCTTACTTGTCTCAGTGACCCTGAAAGCATATAATTGTGTAGCAGAACAATACAAATACAAGATGTTTTATGATGCTTTCCTGAACATATTCAAGTTTCTAATTTCTTGTAAATCTTTCATCTGACAAATTTGTGTTCTAATTCCTCAAGGGACTGGATCTGCTTTCCTCTCAGCTTCAGCCCATATTTCCTCCTTGCTAGGATACCCCCCTAAATGCCAATTACATATTTTACTCATTTCTCCTTATCTTGTAGGGCTGAGTAAAGGTTTACCTAGGTCTGGGTAGGCTCAGGCACTATGAAAACAGCCCTATCTACAGTCCTCAGAGAGGGGGCTGAAGGCCATCTTAAAAAGACAATCTGTCTAGCAGTTTACTACTAACTTCACTGGCTTCTGTGATCTCACACTTTAACTACACCTTAGGGAAGACTGCAAGGCTCCCAGGCGGCAAGTCACACAGCACAGAAAAATAACACTCCAGGAACCCTATTTCACCCTTTAAAGACTATGATGCTCAAGTCATACTCTGCAGACAATACTTCAGGACAAGACAAATGAGGTAAACTGGTAGCCATAGCTGAAGCTGTTCCACACTCCCTTTTTCCTGCTAGTATCTGCACCTGGCAAGTTATCCTCCAGGTCGGAGCCAATCTCAAATTAAGGCACAAACACTTCTAAGATCATCAAGACAGACAACTCCCAGCTCAGCACCCATCAGAATGACCTGGTGGGCTGGGGACTATGGTTCAGCATTTGTCTTACACAGTTTCTAGTCTCATAAGTAAAAAGAAACTGGTTAAATGTTATAAAAACTCAATGCTTGCCTCCACCCTCATTTCAGACTCAGAAGGTCAGGAACTGAGAGCCTCTAACTGGCTTCCGTGGTGCTCACATATTCAGAACCACTATAGCAGGCAAGAAGTCTACACACACCTAACAGCAGATTTACATTTAAAGAGTTT